AAAGGGGGTAATAGAGACGCGTGACGATGTGTCGCCACGTAGGTTACTGGAACCCACTCGCCACGATCCAATCCAACCGAAGAAGATGAAGAAGAAAAAGAAAAAGAAGAGAAGGAGGAAAAGGAGGAGAAGGAATCGTTCCTTACAAACCTGTACGTGAAATCCGCGAGTTACAACTATGCGAGTGTCAACCATAATTCCTCAAACAACCTTCGTATGCGCTCATGCGCACGCGCGCGCGAGACTAGCAAGCAAAAGCTAACCTGTTTCTATATCTATATGTGTCCTTTATGCGTTGCACGCGTAATGTAACATAACGTAATGTAATGTAATGTAATGTAACGTAACGTAATGTAATGTTATGTATCGTAATAACCGGAAATTTCTCACGTAGCCAAGTTAGATGCTGGATTGCAAAAGAATATTTTATTCCACGTTGAATACTTGGCATACTCAACGTTTGTACTTGCTAGTATATATTAATATCTCTCTCTCTCTCTCTCTCTTTCTGTCTCTCTCTTTCTGTCTCTCTCTTTCTGTCTCTCTCTTTCTCTGTGTGTCTCCATTTCTATCTCTGTCTCTCTCTCTTTTTTTTTTTTCCATACGCTTAAACTTTCGATTCGTCATGATCCGTAATCTTTGATCCTTCCTTCTTTCATTCATTGATTCGTTCGTTCGTTCGTTCGTTCGTTCATTCATTCATTAATTCCTACATTCGTTTCTTCGTCTCTTACTTTCAAACGTGTACAATTTATAGAGAAACTCGTACTTGTCGTATATATCGCAGAACTTATCTGATACATAATTTACTCGAGATAAAAATAATTTTGAATATGATTTAAGCGAGTAAATGGTGAATTAAGGAGAATGGAAATTGCATGGATGATGAGAGGTTGTACGAAGTTAATAGGAGTGTGATTGAGGAGTGGACAATAATAGTGTGAAGGGGGGGAATAGTTTTGAAATGAATAAGAACGATAAATGATGTTTGATCGTATAATACTTCTTAGGCGCTCTTGATATCGGATTAAATGAAAAATAGAAAATAAAAGAAAATGAAAGCCATGTTTTTGTATATGTTACATTAGATTTCAATCGAAGGAAATTAAAAATTAATAAACGATCACATTTTATTCTGATTACAGGCAGGGATGAGCTCTCGCAGCCGGGTTCGCTTAACGGTTACGGAAGTAGTGGTGGTGGTGGTGGTGGTGGTGGTGGTGGTGGTGGCGGCGGAGGAGGAGGAGGGGGCGGCGGTGGAGGAGGCGGCGGAGGCGGCGGCGGAGGTGGTGGCGGAGGAGGAGGTGGCGGAGGAGGACCCGGCGGTGGCGGCGGTGGTAATGACGGTTGCGACGCAAGGAAGAAAAAAGGTCCAACGCCGAGACAACAGGAAGAACTCTGTTTGGTCTGTGGTGATCGGGCTTCTGGTTATCATTACAATGCACTCACCTGTGAAGGTTGTAAGGGTTTCTTTCGGCGCAGTATAACGAAAAATGCGGTTTATCAGTGCAAATATGGGAACAATTGCGAGATTGACATGTATATGCGCCGTAAGTGTCAGGAGTGCAGGCTGAAGAAGTGTCTTACGGTTGGCATGAGGCCGGAATGCGTTGTACCGGAGTATCAGTGTGCGGTCAAGCGGAAGGAAAAGAAGGCCCAGAAGGTAGGGGTAAGATTTTCGTCATCTTTCGACATTAACAAATTTCGTCGGGCAGTGTTCTTGAAGATGTTGGTAAACGTCCGAATGTTTGTTGTATACCCAATTACATCGTATATACAATCTGAGATATTATTTATATCGAATCTATCGCTTCATTTTTGTACGGGATAAAAATTAATTATTATTGTTTTTTTTTTTTTTTTTGTTATTATCATTATCATTATTATTATTAGTATTATTATTATTATTGTTATTGGTTTGTTCTTTTTTTTTTTTCTTTCTTTCTTTCTTTCTTTCTTTCGGACATTACCAGTCCCCATCCGTCGATCTTCGCGTTTTCCTTTTCTCAAATGAGAGATGTATTTTTTCACTTACGTATTTTCTTATTCGATCAGGAAAAGGACAAGCCGAACAGCACGACGATGAACGGCTCGCCAAGTAGCGTCGGTGGTATGGGCACCGATCAAGTAGGCGTGAAGATCGAACCGGCGGAGGCAGAATCGTTGTCGATGTCCGGTAGTAGCGGTATCCTCACCCCAGTTAGCCCTTATAGCTGCGTAAAGCCTATCAGTCCCGAACAGGAGGAGCTGATACATAGGCTCGTTTATTTCCAAAACGAGTACGAGCAACCAAGCGAGGAAGATCTCAAAAGGATCACGGTATTTGAAATTTATCTTTGTATTGTACTGATAAATTAAAAAAAAAAAAAAAAAAGAAAAAAAAAGAAAACTGACGATTCGCGTGTATAGGGTACGCATTGCTTATTGGACCGTGTATTGCATAAATTAATAATAATATTATTAATAATAATAATAATAAGAATAATAATGATAATAATAA